AGAGGAGAGGAAGAGAAGAGGAAGAGGAAGAGAGAGAGAGAGAGAAAAGTGAGAGTAGAAAGAGAGGAGAAAGAGAAGAGAGAGAGAGAAACAAAGAAATAAAGAAAACAGAATGAGTAGAAAGAGAGGAGAAAGAAAGAATCAAAGAGAGAAAAAAGAAAGAAAACGAGGGAGACAAAAAATATTCAGTCAAACCAGCTGATAAGCCTGACGTCGGAATCGTGACGATAACGAGGTCGATACAGATTATAGCTACGGCGATGGGCGCGGAAATTATCAATTTAGAGTATAGTGGAAAGCAATAATGACTTAAAAGAGTTTTTTTTCGCGTGATAGATATGCATTGTATAGTGAGGAACGATAAAGCTTTGAAGAATTCACCTTGTAGAACTCATATAATTTTTTCCGTGTTTTTTTCCCCTTCTTCTTCTTTTCCGTTTTTTTCTCTTCTTTTCCGTTTTTTTCGTGTGTTAAATATGTATTTTGGTTATTTCATGATTTATTTTTTATTTTTTTATTCCGTGAGTCCGTTTTTGCGTGTGAATTGAATTGTATCTATAGAATATTCATATTTTTTTGATACTGTGATGTAATTATGTACAAGCAGATACGGGTAAAGAGTTATATAAATGACATTTCGACACCTCTTTTCTTTCTCTCTCTCTCTCCCCCTTCTTTCTCGTTCTCTTCTCTCACTCTGTCCTTTATTCGCCTCTTGTTCTCTCGTCTCCGTCTCTCTCCCTTTGTTTTCTCTTTTGTCTTCTTTTTCCTCTCACTTTTAATCTGTCGCTTCTCTCTTCTCTCACTTGTCGTCTCGTTCTCTTTCGCCTCTCTCCCTTCTTCTCTCCCTCTCCCCCCCTCTCTCTCTCTTTCTCTTTCTTTCTTTCCTTTCTTTCTTTCTTTCTCTCTCTTACTTTCTTTTTTTTCTTTTTCTTTCCTTTTTCTTTCTTTCTCTTTCTCTTTCTCTTTCTTTCTCTCTCTTACCCTTACCCATACCCCTTACACCTTCCCTTTACCCCTTAACACTCGGTCGCATCCGTCCTCCTCTCGGCGCCCCCTTCAAAACGAGGGCACGAAGGGTTAATGTCGCTTCGTGGCCCGGTCATATTCACCCTTCTTGGTCCTTCCAGCGCCGCCGAAAGAAACGGGATAAGAGATAAAACGAAGAATGGCGTTTAAACGGGCCAAAATAGGCAGGTAAATTACTACGTTTGGTTTTTTCCCGGGGAAGATGGTAAACATTCCCCCACTTCGAACCCCTACCCTACCATCGCATCCCTTCCCCCCCTTCTCCCCCCTTTCCCCTCTCTACGTCAGCACCTCCCCCATCCCTTCCCCTCCCCCCCCCCCCCTTACTTCATCTACGGTATTTTATGATCTCAAATTGCCGACTTCAGAGATTGTCTCTTCCCCCTCCCCCAACCCCCCCCCCGCCCACCACCCCTTCCCTTCCCAGTTCATCTTCTTTCCTCCCTCCCCACCCCCCCCTCCCTTCCCTTTCCCAATTCCATCTTCTTTTCTCTAAGGTCTGTTTCCTTGGGTATCATTAGTGGCGATGGACCTTCCCGTCTTTAATACGGATAGAAGGGTAGGTATTTCAGAGGGCCGGGGAGGAAAGAAATAAAAAATTATTTATTATTTTTTAACTCCGGTGGTTGCCACCGCTCTATCCCCTCACCCCTCCCCCCCTCCCCCCACCCCTCTCCCCGGTGAAAAATGGACAGGTTATCGTTCTTTTTTTCTTTTTCTTTTCCTTTTTTTTCTTTCTTTTCTTCGTACTTTT